TGACCTGGTCGAACACGTGTTAGTGTTGGTCATTTTATACTTCGCCTGTCAACTCAAATTTAGCGAACAATTTCTGAATAGCGGTTTTTTTGTCCACTAATATATAAAACATTACGAACTTTATGAATTCCAATTATCTTTAGCTGAATCATAATTCTTATAGTGGATTTTAATTCAATTTTCGAACGGGATTGAATTCATCATAACAAGCGCCAAAGCATCTAATACGAATACGTCAAAAAACTAAATGTCAAAACTCCCATGCTGTTAATGTTGCCCCAATTGAAAAAACAAATTGTTATCGAAATACCGTTTAGGAGTAGTTTAATAATTATTTTATTTTCTTTTACACATTGCGATTTTTTAGTTTAAATTAAATATTTTTTGTTTATTTCTTCCTTAAAATATCAATAAACGATGTCAATAATATGTACTATTATGTATTTACGTTGCTTCGTCCACCTTATACTAAGAAAGGAACCATTTTGGCATGTCCATGCTGCCATCTTGCCGTATTTGGTTGTTTTGGTTGTTTAAGTATTTTTTTATTATTTTCGTGTTATTTAATAGCCTATCATAGTTGCATTTGTTTTGTTTTTTTTATATTATATTTTTTTCTTATTTTTGTATATTTGGTACTTCGTGCGGCATGTTGGGTGCCAGTTAAAGAATTTTTCTTTCGTCGTGTCCTCTGGGAAATAATTTATCTGAAATTTGTAAGAGTAGAGACAAACTTTTTGATCTTTATGGCATGAAACCAAATAATCATTCAGATGCAAACTGCACTTTTTTAGATAAATCCTAAATTATAGATGTTTAGAATAGTATACAAAACCGCATCGCGCCTTTTCAATGAGATAAAGGGTACGTGGGAAATAATTGCAAAATGAGAATGAGAGAGATGTAGCCCAGAAGTTATCAACTTATCTGTCAAGACAACTAAACATTTAGAACCATCAGCGCCATTCTCTGCAACTTTGAGGAACCCTGTCAAATCATGCAAACACGACTTTTGTTTTCAGCATACGAATTCTCTAGAGATAATAAATGCCTGCTAAGAAATCAAATTCAATTCTACTAAGCATCTTTGGGTTTCATCGATAAAAATCTGCAGATCACTTATCCAAACTATAGCGATATATCTGGGTTTGGGCTTCTGTAGCTTTTTAAAAAAAGGATAGATGACGGTGTCTTCTCGAACCTAATGGAATACAGTAAAGTTATACCACAATTCAAAAGAGGTGACACATACGAACCAAATAATTATATTATACCAGTATCTGTCCTGACGGTCCTGTTTGAAAAGTTAATGCTTCAGAATTTCAAAAAATATTTCTTTGAATATCTTCCATTAAAAGTACAGTTGCTCTAAAGTTCATTTTACAGACAACGGACGGATTACGGATTACAATCGGTGTCGCCCAAGTAACACCCACAACACAATTAGATAGAAGTAACAGTTACGTTGCCGGTCATTTAGGGATTAGGGTGGAATGGGGCGGGAAGGATTGAGCCTAAGGTAAACTCACTCACACGATGAAACACAACCTCTCGAAAGCGTTGGATTGCGTTGATCGTTAGACACTTTTGCTGAACTTAGATCTTATAAGGGATCAGACGTACTGCGCTCCGTCTGTTAGGATATGTTGGAAGGTATTAAGCATATAGACAGAAGTCTATATATAGATTATAGAAAAGCGGCAGCTAAAGGTTTATGGGAACGGTTATAACTCACATGGCTTCGAGATAAAAATGGGTGTTCCACATGGTACGGTTTGGGGTCCCTTTCTCTTTTTAGTTTATCCATATTTTTATGTTCCCACATCAAGACGCTTTCGGAGAAATAAAACTCATCTGCTTTTGAAGTTAGACAGATAAGGCAGCTCAGTGAAGTAAATACAGCGATTACTTACCATTACGTAATCCGTCTCTTCGTTTGCCGACCTACAAACAGACGGAATACTTGACGGTTATCAAATCAATAAAAAATTGTTTCAAGATTGGTACAACTGTTTTACATTTGGGGTGGAGTTTGAGTTTCATCTGTTATTTATATTAAAACAGTGCTGCTTTTAGTCATATTAATCAAATCCAATTTTATGATGGGCAAAAACATTTATCAAAGATTCTGTCTTAAATTTAAAATTTAGCATCACTTATGCAATATCGTGTTTGGGGAAGCCAAGTTATATCAAATACACATACGTTTGGCAAGTTATATACAAAATATTCAAAACCGGTCGAGAAGATTTGGAATAAATTCTGATAGGCCATCGTCCAAGTTAAAATCGTTCTAATTAAGAGTGAAGGGAATAGTAACCGAAAGTCTTCCACCATATTTACTAATAATTTCGGTAAGTATTTAACATGTTGCCACTCGGCTAGTCAAAACAGACCTAATTTTTTTCCAAAAACTCATTCGCATTACAAGCTCTGAGAACATGGTAAAAGTTAATCCCGACTCAAAATTCATGAAATGCATATTCGATCGGTGACGAGACGTGGACGTACGAGTTTGACATGCAAATGAGGCGCCTTTTAACTGCACCAAAACCAAGAAAAAAAACACGCCAAAGTCGATCAAAAGTCAAGGTCTTTTCGTCTGTTTTTGTTGGAATTATTTTTGGAACAAACGAGAAAGAATATCATTTGCGCGATATGCGGCATTTAAGAAAGTAAATTCAACGTTCTTCAGCTAGTTTCAGGAAAATTCTTGGATTTTGCTCTACGATAATGCGCCTTCGCACAACATTGTGATACTAGTACTTAGATTTTTTGATGAAACAGTTAACAACCCTAGAGCAGCCACTATTTTCGCCAAATATGATTAAATCTACTTCTACCAAATTTTATTCCTAACTCAAATTACTAATCTAGGCACCCATTTCTATTCCCTAGAACTTAATTTCAGAAATAACGTTAAAAATTGTTGCAAAAATGAATAACAAAACAAAGTCTATTATTGATCTTTTCTGTAACAGAGTTATGTATTAAATTTACGCGCCTGTGATTGCTCTGGTGCTGTCCACGGGTGGCGCAATTCAGTTACAATCAGGTGATCAATCTGCTTGTTTGCCTCCTATTCCATAAAAAATGGTTGTACCAAGATAACGACTACCTAAAGTAAATAAATTCTACATGGGGTTCTATGTGTGAAATGTAACAATATAGCAATAATTAATAATGTTCAAAAGTTATATAAGAATACTTGACAGCATGTTCATACGGCTCTACTGGGCAACACTCAAATTCGAAATTCGAATTTATTACTCTAGTGTGGCACCAAACATTTCTTTTTTCTTTTTTATTATTTACTTAAAACTGAGTGTTTATTTAGAAACATTTTTTACTACCAGTATGCATAATTATATGCTTGATAAAGGATTTAAAAGTATCAAATTAAGAAGGATTTAATAACATCGTTGGAGTTTTCTTTTTTCTTCATCATTTGTTTTTTGTCTTGTTTTCACTTATGCCTGCTTATGCCTATAATAATGTATTGGTGAGTTTTCAAAACATATGTATAGGCATTTCTCAAAGAGCTACGATCGAGTTTCTTTCTCGTTCTTTTCTCCATTTGAATCTATACTTTGGAGTTTATGAAAATTAGCTTCACTAAAGAACAGACTGCTGGAATATTAGTCTACATATGTACTTTGAAGTACTTTCAAAGTATGTGCTTTCTTATGGTATAGTTAGTTTTACTCTGAAAAAGGTTTCATTTTCGTTGAAAATAAACAAATAAGTTATAGTAACAATCGTTTATTTAATTGTTTTGTTAGTTTTTTCGGCAAACTTACTGCTCCTTATGTAATTATATTATTTTGTTAGTACAAACATTTTTAACTTATTGAAAATAATGCCTTATTCGAGTGAATTAACTGAGAAAAGCTGGACTAGTTTCAAGTCACGACGGGGCTCTTTTTTATAAGCAGCGTGCGCGTCGAGGTGACGTCACGTAGCCGAGTTCTGTTCTCAGTCAATTCTAAGCTAGTCTTACAAAACTATCAATAAAGATACATTCTTATATTTATAATACTGAGATCAAGTGTGAATAAAATAAAATCGATTATCATACCTACTTTGTTTTAATTATTCCTGGTATATTTTTAAATAAGCTTAAATATAATAAACACTATAAAATACTTTGATACTCTTAATTTTTGCAATTCACATTGTATCCGAACGTCAAAAAAGTAGTGATTTATTACGAAAAAAATGATCACCAAATCTTAGCAAAAATAAACAATACGTAAGATTATATTATTAAATATAATGTTTAAGCTTATTTATTACTTTCACATTGCTTAGTACATTAGTATGTGTAAAACACTTTTGAGCCACCCCTACGCGGGTAAGGTAGATTAAGTTAAAATTAGGTCACATCAAAAATGTCGTGATCAATAAATATTTTTTGATGAAAAACTATTTTTTGGAGTAATTTTCCTTGAAAAGGATAGTGTAAACTTTAATTATAATACAATGCGGGCCTTATCTTGGTGATCGTTTATTATTTTTATTTGCGTGTTACATTTTACTTTACCTGGTGGTATCTAAGTTATACATAAGCCTTATTCAAAATATTCGTGGAAGAAATTTTATTATAATATGTCCTCATTTGTTCGTACACTTCTCTAAGAAACATTCTAAACTAAAGTAACCTAACATACACATTTATTTCCGTTTGGATTTTCTCCTGTGTCATATGTTCGTTTACAAATAAACAAATTCACATACATAATTATCTCACCCAACCGGACTCATAACAACAATGTCCGAAACAGAAAGACTTGTTCCTTGCGATTCCCGCGGCTCTGCAAGTAAGCCATTAAGGAAACTCTTAGGATAAGAAAGAATAAAGTAATTCATTCCATTCAGTCCTCTGCTAGCAGTTTTGAATTAAATCTAGATTTGATATCTAATGTTTAATTAAAGAAATAAAAACTGGCCGCGAATGACAACCGATGTTGGGTTCCTGATGACCCACTACTACATACACATCATTTCGGGTGCATTTCATAGTTCGATGTCACAGAATTGCAATAAGCCTGCTGTCCCTCTACGCTACTGATTGACATCGTGCGATTCGATGATGTCGCTGTGTTCTGTTCAGACTGGGGCAACCCTCTCATTTGGCGGTATCTGAAATTGTATAGGTAATACATTAATTTTCTATTTAGGCTGACTTTTTAAGGTCGAAAGAAGGTTCAAACGTCGCACGCTATTAAGAACTACACAATATGTAGACATTATGTATAAAACCTTTTTAATGTTATTGATATTATCAATTAAATGTGAAAACTTGTGAAAATATAGGGATGTAGGTATCCTTACTATGATGTTATCTAAACGTTATTGAGTTGAGCTGGTTTATGATGTTTGGTTCATGGACTTACTTCTTTTTCACTTTTTTCCAAGTGCTTTTTTGGCAGAAGTATTGGATCATTAACATTAGTAGTATTACTGAATTGCTCACGTCAACTATGAAAGCAAGTAGGTGTATTGATGGGAAAACATAGACTACTGCCTTTACTATCCAATTCACTTCCATAATTAACATGGCTGCCCAAAGCTTCAAGTAAAGTAGAAACCTGAAAATAAAAAGATGTACATGTTTTAAATGAATATTTATAAGTGATTGACCCATACAGGGGTGGACTGCGGCGGGTTTGACTAATGAGTCGGGGAAATAACGAATAGTCTCTCAAATTAAAAGTAACAATTTCGTTCCAGAGATGGGAAGTTAAATTCTCGTGCCTTTAAATTTATTGGAGGTTTTTTTTATGGGATTGTTCGGCAAACGAGCAGACGGATTACCTGATGGTAAGCATACAGCGCCATCCATGGACACCAGCAACACCAAGGGAATTACAAGTGCGTAGCCTTTAGGAATAAGGGTTCGAAACACAACGCTGAGGTTTTTTCACGCTGGATTTCTTTAAGGCCGTGGTATCACTCCAGTACAGCCGACCCATTCGTGCCGAAGCTTGACTCTCCCACACTTAAAGTTGTTTGTCAAATAATAAAGTACATAGATATACGTGTGTGAGTGGCTTGATTCGAACGGAGTACCTAATACAAATAATGCAAGAGGCCGAAATTCTTACCGCCCAAATTCTCATTTCTCCAAATACTCAAATCTCTCATCTCTAAAAGGCCGGCAACGCACTTGGAACTACTTTGTTGTTGCAGGTGTTCGCTGGCTATGGTTTTTGCTTACCATCAGTCGATCCCTTTACCCTATCTTTGAAAAATATATGATTTGACGGTCTGACGACACCTACCTCTGTCTTTCTGTGTTTAATGCATTGACAACATTATTCTCTGACTGGAATAAAATTTTGGTCTGTTTCTTGGTCGCCTCAATCTTCAGGGCCGTTGAAGTAAACATCGCAATGTTCATGAAGAACAAGATTATCAATGGTGTGAAATAGTAGATCAGCGAGCCAATGCCTGTTAACAAAAGTAAATACGTTATTTACTTTTCAATCGTGGTTATTCGATACAAAATAGTAAGACTGTAATAGGTACGCGAACAGCGCTTGAGGTTTGGTGAATGAAGGTGAGTGAGGTGTGATGGATCGGTGGGGACAAACAAATTAAGGAATATTTTTACTGTGCGTTAAATTGTATTGTACGGTGGATGGACTCCGTGCAGCTACAAATCTGTTACACGTTTCTAAGATGTTTGACTTCACTTATTGCACAGAAAATAAAATAGACTGAACGTGATTGGTATTACAAAAGTCAGGAGAACTCAGACTTGAATGCTGGGTAAAATGCAAATCGTATATTGTATCCTTACAATACGATTATGTTGGGGGCAGTGTTCTTCATATTATTTTTCAACAATTATAATATTGACACCCGGTTTCTGAAAGGCTTGTCAACGCTAAAATTAACTAATCTCTTGTCAAGTCATCTCATTGGCTGTTGATAATTCAGTCAACCAATCAGATGACTTGACAAGAGATTAAATTGATATTAAAATTTATCGGCCTTTCCGGGTGTAGGTGCCTTAAAACAAAATTTTAACTTTAAATCAAAATTCGAAATAGGAATTAAAGATTCAAACATTATGCTTTGATGCAATTTTACTAAGCTACTTAGTAAACTTAGGTCTTCAGTGTCAGCTATCAGGTCACTCTTATATCTTAACAGTTTTTCAGATCATTTTGAAGCCATTCCTCGGATTTATGACAAGAGTTAACAATGGTTGTCTTTATATTGAGCCTTTGCCTTTGGCATTAAAAAAGATGTTTTTTTTTTAGTGGAATATCTTCAACTGTTTTCATTCACCCAGGGCGAGCCATTAGTCTGTTTAAAACGATTTTATCTTGCAATGTTTTCTTTTTTTTCAAACTTAGTTAAATATCTTTTTTTTTCAAGGATAAGTGCTTACATTTTTTTATATCACGTCATTTATTTTGTTTTTTTATTTTTTTCGTGTGTGCGGAGATGTGTTTGTTACCCCATCAGTCGGGGCCCATCTGAAAACCAGTGCTGTGCATTGGTACAGCATATACTGAGACCACTACATACAACTACAACTACTTCTTGTTACACTATATTTTTTATTTTTTGTGTAATGTTTATTTTTGTACGTTTTCAAATTATGCATGTGTGGCTAAATAAATGGTTTAAATTAGGGTGTATCAGATTCTTACTGACTAAAACACCCTCGTTCCTTCTACTGCTCCAGGTCGGAGCTGTGGTACCTTTTTGCGCTTGCCCCGTAACTTCGGCTGAACATTGACCCTATTGGTCACCATCTGTGGTGATCTATATAAAAGATATTGCGTAGTAGAATAAGGGATGAAAAAATATTGTAATATTATTTAGGTCCTTACCACTGATGCCGGCGCAACCATTTAATCGAAGTTTTGGTTTCAGGGGATGGAAATTGGATATTTTGGAGTACTCCATGGCAGCAAGTATGATGGTAAGCACTGCTGGAACACCAAATGCGTAGGCAAAGTAGGCCCCGAAACGCAGACGAGGAATTGTATTACCTCTTGTAAGAACACGCTTTCCACTGAAATCATATATTACGACATTATGCACCAGTAATTGTCAGAACATTTACATATTTTTATCATAATAACTGAAGAGGTAAAATTTGTAATTTGTAAGTTTGTATGCAGGGAATAATCTTTGGAACCGCTGCCTGGTCGGATTTAGAAAATTTCACTAACAGATAGCTACAATGTTCCTGTGTGCTATAAGCTATATAATATCACCGCGGAAAGTAGTTAGTTATTTAAAAATACCTGAATGTACTCCACATATCGAAGCACATGACGTTACGCCAGAAGAATGCAGACAAAATCCAGAAGTAGATCATGAAATCTGAAATAATTAATTTATTTTAGCATGCCCTGTAGCAGTTATGGACCCAAAGTATAAAATGAATTAATCTTCTAGCAATACTCACTTAAAGCGACGCAAAGGTCTCGACTAATACTGTGTTCCGACATGAATAGTTTTTTAATTGCCGTCAAAAAGTAACCTACAATGAAATTTGCGAGGTACGCTATGATGATCACCCCGTGAAGCGTACGAAGTTCCGGCAGCCAAGCGATTAAGGAAAGTCTCAGGATAACGAAGAAACAAGTAACCAAGTAACCTGGAAAAAAATAAAATTTAAAGCTTCCAATTTATTAATAGGTTAATTTTATCTCCAAGTTCAAGGTGACAATTTGTTCTTGACAGCATTAAATAATGGTAAGGTAATTTGAGTTTAGAAATAATATTTGACAGGTTTGGACTAAATGCCACAACTAATTCCAACTTACAAGAACCGGTCACTAGTAGGTGATATTTTTCCATTACTTCATTGTCGACATGACAGATAAAAGCATTCAATTTTATTTTATTTTTCTCTGTAATGAACATGTCGATGCAGTATTTGTTCGGATCGTAGGTCAGTTGTGGACCAATCGCCAAAGGGCTTTCCACTTCCAATTTGCCATCCTGAAAATTTAAAATAAGTTGCAGTTTACATTTTTTGACAGAACACTTTTTTGTGAGGTGAAAATCATCAAATGACTTCTCCCGCCCAGGGTGAGGCGAGAGTGTCAGACTCTTACTGACTAAAAACCCCTTCCCTTCCCTTCCCTCGTCCCTTCTCGTGCTCTAGGCCGAGGCCGCGGTGCTTTATTGAGCTTATCCCGCGATCCCGGTTGGAAAAACGGCTTAAGAGAACTAATGAGTAATTGTTAATATAGGTAACGCATAAATAGTTGTTGTGATATACCTATTACATATGTCGTAACATTCGCCAAATAAATCCGGTTTATCGACTTAAATGTTGAAGTGGGTATCGACTATTCAAACTATTCTTAGAAATTCTTAAAATATATAAAACAACTACAAAAGACAACATGATACCGATATACGTCTAAACACAAAATTTGTGATTTTCTGTAGCTATTTAAAATGTACTCTTTTATGTAATGAAAAAAAAAACTTACAGATCTGAGCCGAAATACATTTGTGATTTTAGTAACAAGTCTCTTTTCTTCGTCTAAGGATTTCAAACATGACAATTTGTGTCCTGGCGAGAAATTGATTTTTTTAACGTCTGCTTCGTCCAATGTCTTGTAATCATGCCACACAGGTGGAACAAACTCTTTGTTTTGATTGTGGTCTGCCCGTCTACATGTTTTATAGGCAAGGTCAAATTGTTCTCCAAATTCACAGCATTTGCTTGCACATACGGTGCCATTTGGACACAAGCGTCGAACTTTAACTGTAAAATAAATAATTAATTAATACAATCTTAGTTAGTTATTCTAACATAATTTAAGTATTAGAAGGTTGTGGTGGCCCCGAGGTAAAGGGCCCGCTTCTCATGCATGAGGGTGTAGGTTCGAAACCTGGCAAGTACCAATGTGACTTTTTCCGAGTTATATGTACTTTCTATGATTATTTAGAAACCACTGACATACGGTGAAGGTAAACATCGTGAGGAAACCTGGACTTATTATTTCTAATTATAAGTTTGAAATCGCCAACCCGCATTGAGCAAGCGTGGTGATTAATGCTCAAAACTTCTCCGTGTGGCAAGAGGCTTTTGCTCATGAGTGGGCACTTATGGACTGATGATAGTTAGTTATTTAGACTATCACTAATATAAGTGCAGTACAGTATTTTTTTAGGTGCATATCATCAATTGGCTTCTCACACCCTGGGTGGGGATGATCAATCGATGATGGGACGTGTCCATCATTCGTGGTCTACTTGCGTAGAACGCTATGCCGCACACTCTGGTTCTAATCGTGCGGCAATCTACCTTTGCTCAGCGTTCACTGTGTTTTTATATCATTAAGGGCTGATTTTTCCACAGACGTACCCCCCCCCCCCCGGCTGAACATCAGCCCAATGGGGCCCCCATTGGGCTGATGTTCAGCCGGGGTTGCGGGGTAAGCGCAATGAGGCACCGCGACCCTGGGCGGGAGAAGTCATTTGATGATTTTCCCCTCAAAAGAAGGGCTGATTTTTCAATGGTTATAGATAACAGTTATCTGGGAAAAAATTATGATGCTGTCGCGTCAGAATGTTTGTATAAGACAGTGACAGCAAAATTGTTATTCCTCAGATAACATTAATCTGACTATTGAAATATCAGGGCTAAATTGAAATACACACGATTTATTAAAGGTCCTGCTGTCGATCTGATGCAACTGTAAGACGGTGGAGGGAACTCCTAAACTATTCAAACCAGCTACGCTGTGTTTGGATTAATTTGTAACGATGAGCATTTTGTATGCAGATAGATGAGGTCTGTGCAACTATATCATGGAAATCTGATAAGGAACAAATGAGACAGTTTAGGGAAGTTCCCCTAACTGTCTGACTTAACGTGTGAGTTAAGCTATTTGATACGCGGATCAGCCGTAAGTGAGGCTGAAAATCGATTCCATACAAAATATTTATAGTAAGTTAAGCGAAGTACAAAAGCTTGTTATGTATGATGTAGGTATCGTCTTTAGAACTTATGGCACTGGCCCCCAACCTATCAGAATACAAAAGATTTTCTTTAGAATTTATTTTCTTTAGGATTTTCGAAAGTGTCGTGGGTGCGTTTTTACAAACATACATTTTCACATAGACACACAAAGAGTTGTTCCGTGCGGGAATCGAACCCGCGATACGTTGCGCGGCAGCCAGTTGCCCAGCCACCGCACCAACTGTGCTGTAAAATCATTATTATATAGAAAGGTGTAATATGGAAAAAATGCACGTCAATCAAAATTTATACTAAGAGAAGTAAAACTTCGCAGGGAATAGTGACTTCCTGCAGATTTTTGGTATAAAAACTATCCTATGTCCTTTGTCGAGTTCCAAACTGTGTATGTACCAAATTTCACAGAAATCAGTTTAGAAGTTTAGGCGTGAAGAAAAGACAGACAGACAGACAGACAGAGTAACTTTCGCATTTATAATATTAGTTTGGATTTGGATATTGAATCGAAAAACATACCGTAATGAAGGGGGACCTTTTTTACGCCTTTCGTTTTCGGAGCCTTGTGTCGATATAGAAACTCATCTCGCCAATTAACTGTAGTAGCATACTCCAAATTTGTGACGTTATTTTTCCGTGAATACTCATTACTGTTTTGTGAATCACTGTTATTTGCTTGTAAATTATCGGTGATGTTATGTAATCTGTTATTATGTGATTCAGTATTATCGTTTCTTGATCCAGTATTGTTTACTTGTAAGTAAGTATTATTATTCTGTAATCCAGTATTATTTACTCTTGATTCATAATTATCGTTCTGTAACTTAGTATAATTTACTCGGGAGACAGCATTACCATTGTGTAATCCAGAACTATTTGCTAGGGAGTGAGCATTATTATTCTGTAATCCAGTATTGTTAACTCTTGAGTCACGACTATCGTTCTGTATCCCAGTATAATTTACTCGGGAGACAGTATTACCATTCTGTAATCCAGAACTATTCGCTAGGGAGTGAGCATTATTATTCTGTAATCCAGTATTATTAACTCTTGAGTCACGACTATCGTTCTGTATCCCAGTATAATTTACTCGGGAGACAGCAGTACCATTCTGTAATCCAGAACTATTTGAAAGGGAGTGAGCATTATTATTCTGTAATCCAGTATTATTAACTCTTGAGTCACGATTATCGTTCTGTAACTCAGTATAATTTACAAGTGAGTGAGCATAACCATTCTGTAATCCAGAACTATTTGCAAGGGAGTGAGCATTATTATTCTGTAATCCAGTATTATTTACTCTTGGGTTACGGTTATCGTTCTGTAACTCAGTATAATTTACTTGGGAGACCGTATTACTGTTCTGTAATCTAGAACTATTTAATAGGGAGTCAGTAATATTATTCTGTAATTGAGTGCTATTAACTCTTGAGTCACGATTACCGTTCTGTAATCCAGGAATATTTACCTGTGAGTCACCATTATTGTTCTGTTGTTTGTAATTATTTACTAAAAAGCCAGTATTATTATTCAGAAATCCAGTATTATTTACTCGTAAGTGAGTATTATTGGTCTGTAATTCAGTATAACTTACTAGAAACACAGCATCATTATCTTGTGTATTATTCGCCTTATTATTTATGTTTTCAGTTTCACTATTCTCGTTCATATAAGGTTCAGTGATATTTACAGAAGTAGAATTATGAAATGTATTATTAAAATTGTTCGGTTTAGAAACGGAAAGGTTCACATTTTCTTTTTCAAAGTCAGGCACATCTGAATCACCGTTATCATAGTAATCTTCATAATAATAATTATCGTCACTGTGATCTTTCAACACCGATTCCCAATACGGATTGATAGCATGAAACGAATGTGTACGAATTATTAAAGCCACAATCACAAAACGGGTGAACAACCACATTTTCGTATTTTCGAATTAAATATACACTACCGTCGCGCTTAACATTCTTATGATAACTAATCTGTAAGAAACTTCGACAAATATCATCTGGAGATGTTATTTAATGTATAGATAGATTTAGCTGGATGTGGTCGGACTACTTTTAATATTACCTACGTCGTAATTGAATAAAGTTAATAATATATATCTATTCAGACACCAAGTTATACCTAATACAACTAAAAAGTATCTGACATTGAAAAGAATCCAGTTGAGAAAGAAAATATTACGACGCCTCGTCTTTTTATCCTGATATTGTTTATGAGTGTGGAAGAGTCATGCTCCGGTACGAATGGCGTATGCTCTAACGGATGGAAACAACGGTCTCACAGAAAACTGGCTTAAAAAAACTGCAGCATTATGTTTCGCCGTGTATCTGAGTGATGTTACCGGTGGACCCATCCTTCTTCTCCGCTCTAAAAGATCGGCACTCGCAACTCCTTCGTTGTTGCGGGCGCCGCTGATAGCTTACCATCAGGTCATTGTCTTCCTATAAAAATAAAACGAAAAGTATGCTCTTATGAAATATAATGCCTTTTATCACACGGAGAAAATTTGAGTGTGAATCATCATTCTTGACTAAGGTGAATTCACCATTTCAACTTCAGAACTTACAAATCTAAATTTCTTGAGCTGCTACTGTTGAGCTTGAGGCGCACGCTTCTCATGGTGGAGAAAGAGAGTTCGAAATCTGGCTAGTACCGATGTGACTGTTTCCGAGTTGTATGGGACTTTTTCAGATTATTTCGACATCACTGACACTTGGTCAGGGAACACACTGTGAGGAAAACTGGACTAATAATTTCTAATTATAAGTTTCCGATCGCTAATCTGCCTCAAGCAAACGTGGTGGTCAATGTTCAAATCTTCTTCGTGTGAGAAGCTAGGCTTTTGCTCAGCAATGGGCGCTTATAGGTTGATGATGCAGAAATAAACTCAGAGAGAAGATACATATAACTAAGAAAAATACATATACTTGCCAGGTTTAGAGCACCTACCTTAATTTTTTTTTATGGAATAGGTGGCAAACGAGTAGACGGATCACCTGATGGCAAGCAATCGGCGCCGCCCATGGACAACGCAACACCAGGAGAGTAACAGGTGCGTTGCCGGCCTTTTAAGAAGGAATACGCTCGTTTCTTGAAGGTTTGAAGGTCGTATCGGTTCGGGAACCGCCGCCGCCGGAAGATCATTCCAAAGTTTTGCTGTGCGGGGCAGAAAGTTTCGGGTGAATCGCACAGTTGTTGACTGCCAACCATCTATGTGATAGGAATGAAAAAATTTTCGCGTGGGACGATGGCGAAAAGATGCGGCGGGGATTAATCCAAACAATTCCTCAGAACACTCCCCGTGATAGATGCTATAGAGAATACAAAGCGAGGCTACATCCCTACGCAATGCCAAAGAGTCCAGCCGGTCCGAGACAACAGGGCAGTCGACAATTCGGACAGCTCGTCGTTGAATGCGGTCCAGAGGGAGAAGCTGGTACTGGGGTGCCCAGCCCAAAGATGAGATCAGTATTCTATATGGGGCCGAACTTGCGCCTTGTAAAGTAGCAGGCGATGCTCCGGGGTGAAATAATGCCTCGATCTATTGAGCACACCAAGCTTCTTCCTGTGTTTAATTTAATTTAACCTAGTAGTTTAGTTAGTTAAATTGGACTAAGTTAAGTCTACCCCAATCTGAGATTCTCTCTAAAGAAGTCTCGATTTCAGACACAAGCCTGTTTCGACTCTCGATGACGTTTTCCCGAGAAATGTTAGTACGGCCGGCGTAAGAGGCATCACCCGTGCTGTCATTCGCATAACAATGAATGCTACTGATTTGCAACATATCATTGATATGGAGGAGGAACAGGGTGGGCGATAGTCTTCATGCATAAGAAATCGAAGATGAGTGTATTGATACATACCGGGTATAGTTACCCGGGTCTAGATTCCATCGCACTTATTACAAAACAAGTTTTTTTTAGTCTAGGTCTAGAAAGGAAGGTGAGGATAAGATTCAAAATTCAAAACTTAACTCAATGGTTTGAACCTAGACTAAAGATAAATCTTGGTAACTCTCTCTAGTGATTTTATGAGAAAATACCAAAAATCCAAAAAAACAATTTTTTCTCTGAATAGTTACATAGGTAATGCCGGCTTCATGTACATTTTTAATATAATTTTGACATGTAATAGATGTCGATAATTTACAGGAATAAATTATTTTTTCCATTCATAAAATCCTTCTAATAATTTTCCATTAACCAATCAACATATCCTGGGTGAGACGAGGGGGCCTGACAGACTCTTTCTAAAAAACCACCCACACCTTCTCTTGCTCTAGGCAAGAACCGCGATACATACGGCTGCACAACGACCTAGCTGTTTTTTTTTCTTCTAGATTCTTTCGCGCAGTTTCACTCGCTGTTCGGCTCCTACAAATTAGTAGTAGCGTGATGTTTTATAGCATAAAACTTCCTCGATAAATGATCAGATCAGATCAGATCAGACACAAAAATAATTATTCAATTCGAACCAGTAGTTCTGGAGGTTAGCGCGTTCAAACAAACTCCTCCTCCAAAAACATTAGGGGGATGCAGAGGGAGGGAGGGTGAGGGAGAGAGAGAGAGAGAGGGGGGGGAGGGAGAGTGTGAGAGAGAGAGAGAGAGAAAATAATTTTACTGGACCCTTTTGTGTATCGCGTTAAAACCAATCGTATAGAATTAAAGGCGAATGGCAGGCTTGCTCTGTTTAAAATTTTGGATTCTTAAAACTTGGGACGTAATAGTTATAGCCAATGATGTATAAAACTATAGATACGTTGTCCGCGCTCTAAAATGACAACATGAAATGAAGGCAATTGACAACATCGCGCTTAGTTACGCACCAACCTGCCGCGCGACGCTACGTTTGTTTTTAATTTATATCGTGTGTGTAAACCTGTGCGAAACATAAAGAAAGCATGTCGTCGTGTGTGTTCAGACGATGTACAAATTATACTCCAAAAGTTATAGACAAAAATGTGTCATTTCATGCGGAAGTTCACCAAACAACCTGTTTTTATTTTATTTTTTCGACGCCGGCGCCCGCCGTCTTATGGCGGCCGGCGCATGAAGGTATAGTCACGTGCCGATAGGGGAGGTTGAGACACTATTATACTAGTGTTTTTTTTTATATAATATTGTTTGAATATAATAATTATACTTGTTATGTTATGAATATTAATTGTAAGAGGCAAAAAAGAAATAAATTAAGTTTGTTTGAAGGAATTTAAAAATATGTATCTGCACCACAAGTCGATAATATATGACTTCGATAACCATACTGTTTGATTGCCTATTAGTATGTTAATGTTTTTTACAGTATTAAATAAAGGTTCTTTTATGTTTATAAAGATATTGTTTTATTTTTTAATTTAATATGTAACAATAATTACTGTAGCGGAATTCCATCAATAATATTTTAAAGATTTTTTTTTTTATTTATTATAATCGTAATGATACAAATCAACTATTTTATAAGTCAAGAAAATCGAATTTCCTTTTTTCCCCATTTGCGTCTAATAGCTACGTCACTCGTGCGCTCGACCAATGAAAATATAGTTTAACTATTACTTATCCTGTGATGTAACTGAAGATGTATATTTATATCCCTCTAGCAAAGGCATTCCACTATACGATGTCATATTTTCTTTCCCTTTCTTTACTCGTAGAA